TTTAATTCCAACTGGGCCTTAGCCTTCCTTGTCGCATCCCTGCACGCTCTGACAACGTCCCTGTATTCCTCCCAAGTGGCCTGTCCCCTTTCCCACATTCTGTACACTTCCTTCTTCTGCTGGAGTTTGGCCAGGAGTTCCTTGCTCATCCAGGCAGGTCTCCTGCCCGCTTTGCTTGACTTCTTACTCAGAGGGATGCACTGCTCTTGAGCCTGGAGGAGGTGATGCTTGAATATTAACCAGCTTTCTTGGACCCCTCTTCCTTCTAGGGCCCTACCCCATGAGATTCCCCTAAGTAGGTCCCTGAAATAATTTCCCAAAGTGACATAATTAAACTGTTCTTCATTATTAGCTTCAAATTTCAGAATTTGAAGCTTCTGAGAATGGCAGTGAAATTAATAACATCATTATCTCTGTCTGAAGGTACAAAGTTTGGCAACAGCATCATTCCTTCATCAGCAAAATTATACGTTGTGGGATCTATGTCCAGCCCTGACAAAGGGGAGGTATGAATTTCCAGAGCCTTTACAGTGGGGCCTCGGTGAGTTTGCCCAAATTAGACCTTCTCAGGCAGTAACTCACAGCTTGTATTTCTCCTCTTTCTTCCCAGAGGAATGGCAATGCAGCAGCTTGGGATCAGAAGGCATTTCTGGTTTTCAGTAAGTTTAAGCATGAAAATCTCACAATGAATCCATGTATTCTCCGAAGTCAAATATTTACTGTCAACCTCCAAAGCTCAGGGATAAATTGTGTTTGTTTTTTTTTTCATTTTTTTCTGCTGTTATAAGAAGTAAAAAGGACATGAAAACCTCTGACTTTGAACAAGAGGTCACCAGCCTAAGGGTCACATTTCTAACCTTTATTCAGCTGAAGCAGCTGAGGTGTAGCTTCTGAATGCGTCCGTTAATGCATGGGCTTATTTGTGCATGTGGGTGGAGCTGCCCTGGCTTTCAAACCAGCAAAACAAGTGCTCAACATTGTGCTCCGCCTCTAAGAGTAGACAGATGGTAAAGATCCATAAAATGCCTGAAGCAAGCTACCACCCCTCTGCTCCTGAGAGGGCAGGTCTTGCTCCTGGTCCTTCCTGGACCTTCCTGAAAGGGAGTACCCTTTCCCCAAACTAGTTCATGTGCTCATATAGCCTCTCAGGAAAATTTCTCTACCCACTCACTAAGCATCAGAAAATATTCTTTGATTTGATTTGTGGCTTTTTTGCTGGGCTAATTTGCTGTCATATTGAGAGGCTGGTATAGTTCCTAAAAACTCAGACCAGTGGAAGGGAGGATTTGAGGAGAAAGAAACCTTTCTGTCAGGAGCAGAGATGGAGTTCGCAGCACACTTGTCACTTCACAGGACAGTGAGCTGTCAGAGGAGCTCATCCCATCTAGTAAAATTTCATTCTATGTCTTTTTCTCTGCAAATATTAGGTCTATGCCTCTAGACATGGTAGAGTCTTTATATAAAACCAAGATAATTCTACAGCTGGGATCAAAGTAACTGGCTGAGATTCAGTACTAAAAAGGAAATAAATAGTGTTTTTATAGTGCAGTAATTTAAAACATGTTATATATTTACATAACTTAATATCTACAGAGCAACTAGAAATATTCTGGCATTACACGCAAGGATCTTCAGCACTCCAAATGAGTGGTTATCACAAAGGCATCGGGACTGTTAATTTCATTACAAGTGAGGAGTAGATGTTGAGTGTTTTATCTCCCACTGAAAACTAGTTCTAGCTGCAAATAGTAGCTGTAGGTAAAAATATATTTCTATACTTTACCGAAACTCTACAGTTTATAAAAAAGTACTTCTGATGCCACCCATATTTGTTGCTGGAACTCACTGATGCTACACATATATCATCTCCTGTTTATAACACTGCAGTACTCTTGAGAAATAATAGGACTGTCCTACAGTAAGTCAGAGTAGGATTCAGTCAGTTATGAGGAGGAATAGAAAATACTAAAATGAAAATCTATTTTTAAAAAATTTCAATCATAAAATGGAAGAAGAGAGGACTGACATTGCTAATGTCTGTCTCTAATGTGATTAGAGAGATATGGAAGTAAAAAAAAATCAATGAGTAAGGTATCATATTCACTTCGTGTCTGACAAGAGGACTGTTGGCTTCATTTTACTACCCTTCAGATGGAAGATTCAGAGTATACTGTATAGGTTAATAATAAGTTCCTATAGCAACATTCAAATTGCATATTGCAGCTAAGGTTTAATTCACAATGATATACACAAACACCACTGTACAAGAATAGGATGACACAACAATTTACCGATAGTTTCTTTGAGATAATACTTTATACAGGTCAGCAAAGCTCACAATTTTTTTTGCAAAACAATCTTACTGCTTTCTGTACCTCTAAGTGTGCACCATTCAGTGAATCATCTGGTCATGTATTCTCACTACAATTAACTTTCGAAAAACAAGAGACCAGGGCAAAATAAGGCTCCAAGACTATTCTATTAGCTTTACACAACATAGCTAAAACTGAAAAATACTTCAAAGTGAGAGTCACTCACCTGCTCAGTATCCTGATCACTGGTTTCTTCAAGGTACTTTTTAAAAGGGTTTGGTTGATAAGGGTCCTCCTTTTTCAGTGCACTCTTTC